GGGGGGGAGCGGCGGGGAGGGGTTGAGCAGCGGCGATGGGATGGGTTGAGCAGCCGCGATGGGACAGGTTGAGCAGCTGCGATGGGACGGGTTGAGCAGCCGGGATGGGACGGGTTGAGTGTGTCAGTGCTCTTACACCGACGTTCACATCCAAGCGGAGTTAACGCGGAGCCAAGCAGAAGGTATGAAAACACCAAATTCAATTAAGTTCATGCAAATACCAAACTCATCTTTCGAATTTCACGTATTTCCGAAGTAACTGTGTCTTGATTCCAACCCATCCAACAGCTCCTTTCCCTTGACCACACGCACGGGAGGCTACAGGGGGGTATCGGCTCTTGGCGGAGGGGAACGGGCTCCGGCCACGGCTGTGCCTGTGAGTCTCCCCACGGCGCAGGCACCTGCGGCACAGCGAGGGGGTCAGAGGGTTTATCTGCAGTTCCTTGCTCACTCCAGGCTCTGAACCGATCTCACATGGATCACGGGAGCACCTAGCACAGCCTTGAGTGTGGTTTTTATGGCACAAAGGTGTTTGACTTTCTGACTTGTAAAAGAAGGTTCCAGTCTTGGCCTCAGGAATCGCTGCTCGCAGCGAAGGGCCCACAGCACCTCGGGGTCCGTCTTCGTATCACAGTGACGTTACGAGGGAACTCGATTGCCTCTCTCCCTCCCCTAAAACGGGGGCTCAGGAATAACCGAGCAGCACCCTTCTTGCTCCTGTCTTTGCCTATTTGCCTTCATCACAGTTGGGTCGACAACAGGCTGAGCGACTCCGAGGTTTTTCCAGAGGTGCCAACATTATATACAGCGTACTACAACCAAGCCAAGTGTCCCATCACTATAATACACATTTAGGAAGAAAGAGATACACCACCCATGAATCCAGAGTACCCTTTAGGACTGAAGAGCAGCGCCCCCCTACACACACTCCCGCTTTACCACCAACGGAACATCTTGCGTGTAGTCTAGTTCCCACCACCTTTCCCAACCCGGGGCTGGCACAGCGCTGCCGTTACCAGCTCTTCTATTTTACAACACAACCGAGTATTTACAAGCAGCCAAGACAGACACGCTCCCAACCCAGCTGCCAAGCTCCGCCGTGCTCAGCCTGCTGCAAGGGAAGGACCAGATTTGCAAGAGGCGTTCAGGGAGCGGTGACGGAATTCAACGGGCAAACGTTTCTGAGAAGCCTCTCCAGTCTCACGCTTCCAACGCCTGCCCAGGAAAGCTCAGCAGAGCCCAGCAGGCTGTTTCTTACGGCTCCAGCTTCTCCAGTGGCAGAGACAGTGATGTCCTGGCTACGTGCCGGTACCCTCCCTCTCCCCAGTCAGGCTGCGGCTGCTCCTGACCAGGCTGGAGTCTGCCCTGAGCTGCGAGCAGCAGCTCCCTGCCCACAAAGGGCAGGATCCAACCCTCCAACTAAGGC